GTAGTGAAAAGAAATGAGGTGGTATTTGGTGAATGAAGATGACTGATTGGACAAAAGTAGCCTGTGTCTAATCTTAAGCATTGTTCTGAGAGGATAAGGAAGTTCTCTGACAATTCAAGCGCTCAGGAGGCAGGAGAGCAGGATCTTGGGCCACTGTAGTCCCCCTGTTCCATATACTTTTTCATAAAGACAATGGTATTCCCATAGTGAGTGGGAATTTGATGCTTAAGGTAAGTACCAGCAATTAACTCCCTCTTTAGATTAGTTATTTTGGGGGCTTCTTCTGTGACTAGCATTGCCTGGTGACTCTAGAGTTTGACTGAGGTCATTGACTAAAGAAACACTGCTAGAGAAATCAGAGACAAGTGGATTCCTGGGACTTGCTGGTGAGCTAGACTAGCCTTGTTGGCAAGCTTCAGGCTAGTGGGAGACCCTCTCTCTTAAAAAATGGGCAACACTTGAGGAATAATACCCAAGTTGGTCTCTGACTACCACAATGCACACACACACACAAATCCATACTTGCACACATATGCACAAAAAGAAATTGCAAGAGGCCCAAGAAATGATGGCTTCAGTTTCAGTAACTCCTGGAGAGTTGCTTGCAACTGGGATGCCTAAGACATTCATCAGGAAAATCTTTGAATAACTTGGACTTTTGGGCTGCACAACAACAAACCACATTAAGGTTGCAGGAGAATCTGCATGGTCTTACACAACCCCCAGGTAATTCCAATGTTCAGGTGAGGCTCAGGGCTGCCTCCATGAAGTAGGCTCAGAAGTGCTGAAGATATCCTTCCCAGGCACATGACTTTCCAGCCCTTCTCCCTCTCTTATGCCCCTTTTCATTTGGTTCTAGAACTTTATGCACTTATTAACTTGTTCATTCAGATGAGTGATGGTTACTGACTAGACAGGTAGCCTGTACCAATTTGGTGCCATATTGATACCTGCTAACATGAAAAATGGAGACAAAACTAACTTGTTTATAGACAAAAATAAGTTTGATTTTTGGTTGTGTTGTGTTTCAGGTGTTATCTTCATAAAGTAGAGAAGCTTGAAATTTGAGCTGGAAGTTAGGGTGAATGACACCCCCCCACACTGTACATATGATTTAGGCACTGTGGGTTGTAGCTCCCTCTTGTAGGGAAAAGTTGCTTACTGTGAGTAGGGGTTACATTATAGTGTAAGAGGTTCAGATTGATACCGGAGTGATACACTTCACACAACTCCACCCCTTCCCAAGGCAATTCTTGTGTCCCCAGGGAAAACTAACAACTCTGCCTCCCCTATAAAACTAAAGTGAAATATAAAATTAGAAAGCACTCTTTTAGAACATGGGCCACTGCTTATGGGAATGGCATGGTCTTTTGTACAGATATTTTCCCAGAGTGAGGCTTATTTGAAAAGTTATTGCTTCCTGTATCTTTTTTCATGGCTTCTAAAGACCACCCAATATAGTCCTTGACTCTTGACAGGGCCTCATTTCCTTCCCAGGTTCACTTTTCCCTAGCCACCCTGAGCTTTTCAATACACATGTCTCCTTCCTTCTTTCCTTCTTCCTCTTCTTTATTTTCTTAGAGAGAGTATGTGTGTGTGTGTGTGTTCATGTATGCATGTTCACGGGTGCCATGTGGTGTATTTACGCCAATGTACACATACATGCAGAGGTCAGAAACTGATGATCAATGTCTTCTTAGCTCACTGTCCATCTTGTATATTGAGACAGTGGTCCTCATCTGAACAAAGAGCTCACCAATCAGCTAGTCTAGCTTTCTCTTTTCTGGGGTTCCCCTGCCTCAGCATCCCAAGTGCTGAGCTTCCAGGTGGGCCACCACAGCTGCCCAGCATTACACAGGTTCTGGAGATATGAGCTCCATCTGCCACATGTTCATAGCATTCACCTAATCCACTGAGCCATCTCCCCAAAGGCCTTCTCAGGTCCCTTTTTCTCAAAGTCAAGAATGAACCCTAAGCAGAGCTATCAACTTCTCAAAAAGGCTGTGTCTATATTTAATAGTCACACTTGCCTTCCCTTTAAAAAGCATCTATTTGTCTCTAATACTTTTATTGTTTTAATCTGTCATACTGTTACCTCTACAGTGTCAGGACTTGGGGGATTCTAATTCCTGGAAACTAACTGGTACATAGGAGTCCAGTAAGCAGCTTGCCTGAAGCTCCCCTGCTGGTTCATCTCTGTTCATCCCATTTGAGAACTATCCCTGTCTGTTACCAAAACTGGATGCATTTTTCCCGTTCCTCTTATAGTATCCTTCTTGAGCAAATTCTGAGGGATTATAACAGTAGACTCACAAGGCAATGCTAATCACTAAAGGTGCCCCCCAAATGCTTAGTCTAGGGGTAAAACTGCACTGCTGAGGTTGACCTTAAGCACCAAATTCCCACTGCCTGGTGGGCCTGTTTTGTTTTGTAAGGAAAAAGTACACAGAGCTTTTGCTGGAGGGCAAACCAGGGGTGGTATATATGCCAAATTCAGAATTTTCCACATTAGTATCTTTCTTGGATATTACATGTTAAAATAAGACAGGAAAGTAACTTAGCAGTCCTCTTGGGAACAGAAGTTTTGGCATTTTAAAGGTCACATTTGTACCCCCAAGGGAAGTGCATAGGAAATAGCAGCAGGTTCCTTCCCTAAGCCCACGACTTGAGTGATTCGAGGACCAGGCTAACGTGGCTGATGGACAATACGCAACAGCACAGGTTGACTGAGAAGCAAAAGCAAAGCAGATAAATCTTCTTTTCAGAGGAAATCAAACTATAACCCCAATTCTAACCCTGATAATAGCTCTGTCACTTGGTTATTAGTAATCCCTCTCATGAAGATCTGCAATGACAAAGAGCAAGTAGGGCAAAGGGAAACATAAAATGTACAATTTAAGGAGAAAGGGGGCACCAGGAAATTTAACAGTGGAGGGAGGCTTGTGCTGAAAGAGATGAGAGGCTTGATGGGAAGTGCAATAAAGGGAGTGGTAACCTCAGGGCAAGCAAGACCCCGCCTAGCTAAACTTCCACCTTGTAATATGAAAATGCCTAAGGATAACTGTTACTAAAGCAACAGCCAAAACAAATCTTATACAAATGTAATTCAAGGAGGCAGCCAGGTTCTATCCCAAACAGGGAGTGGAACATGACAGCTTCTGCTTTGTGGTTCTGAGTTTAGAGTCATAAAGGTTATAGGAGCAACGGGCTTGTGGAATCTTCCCTGTGGTTCATGAGAGCCACTGAAGCCATGTGAAAGTTAGGGGAGTCCCGGCACCCAGGCCCAGAGAGAATGTTCCATGATGCTGCAGAAGTGAAGCCTGAATTGTATTAGAGATCCAAAGATGTTGGAGATACCAGAGCTGTGGGATACCTGCCACAGAGAGCTGCAGACCGGGCATAGAACCAGCCTGAGAGAGGAAGTGTGTTACTGTCAGCGAAACTGTCAGGAAAGTGCCACTCAAGCCCATTAGCATCCAATATGGAGTTTCAGGATTCAGTTTTTACTGCTGGGTTTCACTCTTGCTTTTGCCCAACATTTCCTCACTATGCCCCCTTATGGAATGGTAATATATATTTTGTGTCATTGTATGTTGGAAGTATGTAATTTGCTTTTTGATTTCTATAGGGGGTTATAATTAGGAGAGCGCCTTGAGTCTCAGGAGAGACTTTGAACTTTTAAACTTTGTGGAAAAGCTATGGGGACTTTTGAAGTTGAACTAAATGTATTTTTTTATTATAATGTGGTCATGAGCCTATGGGGGCCAGGGAGTGGAATGCACTAGTTTGAGTAAGAATGACCTCCATAGGCTTGTAGACCTGAATTGTAGGAGCTGTGTGAGAAGGATAAGGAAGTGTGGTCTTGTTGGGGGAGGTGTGTCACTGGAGGTAGGTTTTGAGGTTTCAAAAGTCCAAGCTATTCTCAGCCCTCTCTGCCTCCTGATTGTGGATAATGCTGCCTGTTGCCATGCTCCTGACCATAATGGTCATGGATGCTAACCCTCTGGAACTCTGAGCCCCCAAATTAAATGCTTTCTTTTACAAGTCGCCTTGATCATGGTACTTTGTCATGGCAACAGGAAAGTAATTAAGACAGGGACTTACCTTCTTCCTCTAGGGACAGAGGAGGGGCAATAACAATAGTCTGTAATGTCTTGAGAGTGTCTTGGTCAACCCTAATACCTAACTACATTCTAAATATCTCTCCTTATATATACAGATAGTGTAGTCCTCTTCTCTCAAGGAAACTTCTTTTAGCAACAGATGGAGACCATTACTGAAAATTACAACCAATAAAGGTGGATGGTGCTGCACAAATAAGATCTGAAGTTGTCTTCCAGCCTCTTCATGCATGTGTATTCACATGTACGCATTCTTATGCACATAAGTACATCCACATACATGACAACATGCACACACACACACATGCACGCTTGAATAAACACCCTACTGTAATGAGTCTTTCTCTGAAGAGACAGCTCCCAGATAACAGCACCAAGACTTATTGTTAATTCTGAAAGCTCGGCCTTAGCTGAGGCTTGTCCCACTAGTTCTTATAACTTAAATTAACCATTTATTTTAATCTACATCTGTTGCATGGCTCATTACTTCATCTCTCAGTCCTGTTCATGCTTCGTCCTCTGCATCTGGCTGGTGACTCTGCCTTCTTCTTCCCAGAGTTTTCTCTCTGCCCTGAGGTCCCATCTATACTTTCTGCCTAGCTATTGCCCATTCAGCTTTGTATTACATCAATCACAGCAATACATTTTCACACAGTGCACAAACATCCCATAATGGCTCCACACAAAGAGTGGGAATACGGTAGGCACAACAGCAATTGCCTATGGATATCAGGGGAAATGAGCTGGAACCTGGATCTGACTCCCCATTTATGCAGGGTATAAACTTAATTTTGCTCAACTGATTTGAGATTCAGTTTTCTGAAGAATGATTTGGAGACACCAATAGATGTAATGTCATGAGGTTTTATGAATACTTACTTAATGGCTGTTAGAAAACATTAAACATGGAGTCTGGTACCCAGTAAGAGCTGAATCCAGTAGTAGCCCTATGGATGACAAAAGCAAGACAAATGACACTATCAGTGCCAGCAGAGTCCACCCTGGAGGCCCCTTTTAAGAGTTACAGGTAGATTAGCTGAGAACTACCCATGCCCTGGCCTTGTATAAAAGGACAGAGTGGACAAACCTGATTTTGTACCACTTCCAGATAAACCTTTATGTAAGGTATACGATGTCACCAAAGTAAAGCCACAAATTTACTGAGACACTGAGGAATGGAGTTACTGGTTAGAGGTCAGAGGACAACCATACAGAGACAGTCAAGCAATGGAAAGACTAGGGTATGTAAAATGAATTCTCTCTTTCTACAACGTCCAAATATTGACAGCCCAGTTTAGAGCCTGCTGAAGATAATTGGTACAAGGGTTTCTGGGGCAATGTGTTTCAATCATCAGCCAGACATTGTAGGCAGGTTATTTTTAGCCTGATTACTAAACGGAAGAATGTGACTTTGAAAGGCATGCTTTAAGAGTTCTCTTGGGTAGCCAAGCTTGTGTGATCATTACTACCAGGAAGTGTGCTTGTTCAAGTGTTCCAAGTTTTTGATATAGTTGTGATTTTCAAACACTCTGCTCCCTTATTGTGTGAGTAAATTCTGTTTGTCTAATCAGATACCGTGAGTTTCTGGGGAAGTACTTGAGGAAATATGAGCCGCATAGACCAACATAGATATCACATTAAATATTCTAGATGGGTTGAGGTAAAAGCACTGCACATTATAAATTGGCATGACTTTTCCTGTACCTCAGTTATGAGTCAGAGTTGCTTTTGTTTTGTTTTTGTAGTTGTAAGTGATAGAAACTAATTCAAATCAGATTAGACTAACGGGGGTTACCAAATTTATAACTGAAAAATTCTGAGGATTCATGGCTGGCTGGCTGCATGTTCTCAAACAATGATCTGGTTAATAGACTGCCTTACATCCTTGCTTCCTGTCCACTGTGTTGGTCTCACACTCTTGCATTGATTCATCTTTGAAAGTCCCCAGAAGACCTTGGCATAGCCCACCAGCTTAGCATCCACACAAGAACTAGTTCATCAAACTCTCTGACTGAGCCTGGCTCATTTGTTGTCCCTCTTTCCACAGTCAGAGAACTGTGTGACCCACATGGAATACACATCCCACTTCCCACCATCAAAGATATTGAGCCTGTGGTTTCTGTTATGATCTGAATGAGAAATGCTCCTTATGGGATCATGTGTTTGAATACTTGGTCCTACCTGGTGCCATTGTCCTGGGTGGTTAGAACACCTTTACTATCTAGGATCTATCAGTCAAATATAGGCAAATAATGACAAACGATGAAGCTTAGAGGCCACCATTAGGAATGTTTTCAGTTCAGCCAAGATATGAACAAGCCAAGCCACAGACCTCCCCATTGCCCCTTCCTGCCAGGATGGCCACACCCACTGAGATCAAGAACCCAAATCAGTCTCTCCTTCTTTAAATTGCTTGAATCAGGGTAATCTGTCACAGTAAAGAGAAAACATTATCCCCATAGAGGGTGGTATGATCACTAGTGAGGGAAACAGAAAGTAGCCTGCCATGCCTACCCTGGAAGTCCAAATTTCCCATTGCTTCCTTATGACTAGTTTTCCTCCAGTGAAATCTCCCTCTCACACCATTGCAATCTACCTGCAAGAGATCTGTGTCTTTCTCACTGATGTTATTTTTCTGGCAGTCAACTGTCTGGAGCACATGAACCACTCCCTGTGAGCACTATGTTCTGGAAGCTGACTCTCTCCATGTGAGTGAATATTCCAGGAGATTTTCTTCCTGACATGTTGACTTCCTAAGTTTCCATAAAGGTCTGTCACTCAACTCCTGCAATCCTTTCTTCAGTTGTAGAAAGACAGGAGATGCTTGCTGCTATGGGCTGCCAGGAGGTGCTTCTGGGGTTTCCTAGGAAACATGAAGATGCCTCTGTGCATCATCTATGCATCATCGCTGGCTACAGAAGAATGGGCCCACGGTTCATCTTAACCAGAGCTCACAAACGATCTACCCATATCCAATATGCAAAAGGCATTTATAGAACTAATTATTTAGACATTTTCAAATGAGAATCATTGTACTTATGTGAAACAATTTACTTTATTCATTGAGAACTGACATACTACTTGATAAAAACCTTAGTATATTAATGCTCACAGTGAGGCAGACGGTACAATTCCATTTGCCCAGTGAGTAACTGAAGATCTGAGGATTTAGAAAGTGTCTGGGAGACAAAACAAGGACACTTCAATAAAATGCATGCTTTTATTTAAAAATGCAGTGAATTAAGCCTCCTGGAGGGCTGATTGTAAAGGCCCAATGTAAAGTGAGGTTTTCCCTGACTCTGGTAGGTCCCACTGCCCTTCTCTGCCCCAAAGAAACACACAGACACAATATTAGTTATAAGCTGTTGGCTGGCAACTTGGGCTTCTTATTCTTAACCCACAATTACTAATCTATGTATTTCCTCGTGGCCTTATCTTACTAGGTCTACACCGTGTCTGCCCAGCATCTCCACAAAGAAGAGACAGAGCAATTTCCTGCTTGTCCCTGCTTATATACTGATTCTGCCCTGCTATGTCACTTCCTGCCTGGATCACCTAGCGACTTCTCTTTACTACATTTCCCAGAATCCTCCTCGACTCCTAGTCCCACCCATCCTGCTTCCCTATTGGCCAACAGTGTTTTATTCATCAAACAATAAGACAAACATATACACAGATGAACATTCCCCATCAGTCCAACATTAGCATTGTGGAATATTCCTTTACACTGTGTAAAGATGTGTCACTGCGATTGATTTAATAAAAAGCTAAATGGCCAGTAGTTAGGCAGGATGTATAGCAGGGACTTCTGGACAGAGAGAGCACTGGGAAAAAGAGAGGTAGAGTCACGAGCCAGATTCAGAGAAAGAGCAAGATGCAGGAGAAGAAGTAAAAGTCATGAGTCACATGGTAACAGGTAGATAGATAGAAATAGGTTAAGTTATAAGAGCTAGTGGGGCAAGCCTAAGCTATAGGCTGAGCTTTCATAATTAGTAATGTTGCCATGTCTTTTTTTAAGCTGGCCACCCAAAGAAAAATCCTTCTACACATTAGGGGTTGAAGATATGACTCAGAAGTTAAGAGCATTTTCTGTCCTTGTAGGGTACTCCGGTTCAGCTCCCAACATTCATATCAGGCAGCTCACAAACACCTGTAACTCCAGCTTCATGTAATCTGATGCCCTCTGCAGGTGCCCATACACATGTGTGCATACTCACACACAGACAATTTTATATATATTTTAAAATAACAATTAAAGAAATTTTCAAAAATCTCCAACAATTATGCACTAGATGCTATCTGTCAGACAGCGAATAAAACCCATTCACTAACTCTACTTCTTGAAATGGAAAATACCATTATTATTCCCATTTTCTGGTTAAGAAAACTGAGGTACTATGAGGGCTAACCAAAAGAACTGCACTGCACAGAACCTTCTGGCCACTGTTATCTGGATCCCGGGCCCCAATATGCTGAGAATATCAGATATTTTGGCCTTTCATAAACTATTCTTCACATTTTAAATTAAGTATTAAAGGCCTTTGTTGTGCCAGATATCAGATATATGTGATACAATGAAAAAATTTAAAAACAATTTCCAGATAGTACCTGAGAGGAAAAGCAATAGTATCTAAAACCTACAGGCACTTTCTGATACGTCTTTTATAAAAAGTTTGCAGGTTCCATTCTCTGACCTTCACACTGCTTCCTGAGTTAGAAACTGTCCAGTTAGAGTAAGGAATGAGTTTCATAGAGACACTTACTGATGAGCATCTAAGAAGTAAGTGGTGAAGCTGTGACTTGAACCCACGAAGCTGCAACCTTTGACTTTTATGTCTTGTGCTATAACAACCAACTAGATCTTGTCATCTCCTGGCAGAGACCAATCTTAGCCTCTTAGGATCCAATTACTTTGTGTGTATGTGTGCATGTGCTCCCATGTCAGCATGGGCGTAGGGGTCAGAGGTCAACCTCAGGTGTCATTCCTCAGGTGGCATCCACCTTTGGGGGTGGGGAGGATCTCTCACCAACCTGGAACTCTTTGATTTAAGTAGGCTTGCTGGTCATGGAGCCCCAGGGATCTGTCTGTCTCTACCTCCCAAGCGCTGATATTGCTGGTGTGTGCCACCATAACAAGCATTTTTATGTTGCATATGAGAATCTGAACTTAGGTCCTCATGCTTGTTAAACAAGAACTTTGCTGACTTAGGCATCTGTCTAGCTCCTAATTTACCAGGTGTTAGTCATCAATATTATTCCCTGCTTTCTGCTTTCATATATGAGAGAGTCTTGCTTTGTAGCCCAGCCTAGCCTCTGACTTGGGATCCTTCTGATTCTACCTCCTGACAACTAAGATTTACAGGTGTGGATCACCACACCTTGCTTAATCTTTTGAAGTTTTTTTTTCAAGTCCTTTTAAAACAACTCATGATGGGTGTTTCCATTAAAATTCAAGTGCGAAAGGAAAAGGAGTGAAGTAAGTTTATGTTGCTGAGGAAAGTGTCAGTGCTGTGCTTTTCATCCATCCTACATATTCTCCAACAGCTTTGCATACCATGCTCTGTGCTGGGAACCAGATGCAGGTGTGTATTCAGACATGCTCTGGGGACAGACGTCTAAAGCTGTACAGGGCCATTGCTACATGCTGGCCTAGAGGGAAGGTGGAACCATATTGGGGGGTTTGTCAGATGTACCTGTGCCAGCCAGTGAAGAGCCTTCCAGCAGTTGCTTATGGAAGACACACGCTCTACTAAAGGAACAGGATATTTACAAAACTATGTATTTATTTGTGAACAACTTCAATAGAAGATTTTAAAGAATATCACTTAAGAGATACTGAAACAGTGTACAATCAGGTAGCTTCCAGCATTGGCTCAGGTACTCCCTGGTCTCACCAGGCCTTTTATGTCTGCTGTGTTTGTTGTTGATAATTTTCTACCCATGCATCTTCCCCATTACCACAACATGGCTGCTGTTACTCCAAATGGCATCAAGGCAGAAAGTGGGCAATGGAATGATGGTGAAAAAAAAATACCTTCCTTATGATGGTACTCTCTTTTAATCAACAAAGAAAAAAGTTTTGCCAGAGGTTTCCCAAAAGACTTCACATTAGATTGGTTATAAGAGTGTCACGCAATGACTTAGATCTGCCAAGAAAGAAGGGAAAGAAGTGAGTGTCCAGATTCTTCCTAGGTTCATTGGGAGAGCTTAGCAAGATTTAACCCACCCCTGGTTTCTGTTATGGAGTGCAACCGTGTGATATACCTTAAGCATCTTCAACTAATTTAACTGTGAGTACAGTGTCCTTCTTCTCATTGCCATGCACCCAGTTAATATGGTGAAGTCATTCATGTAGAAGTGTGAACTGTAAGCTCATCCCAATTAAATGTTTTCCTCTTTAAGAGTTTCCATGGTCATTATGCCTATTCACAGCAATAAAACCCAAACCAAGACTTTTTTAAAAAGAAAATTGTATTGCGGACTGGCTAACATACCACAAGCTTCCAGGAGCTTCCCTGTAGGCTCCAAAGGACGCTGTAACGATAAGCGACATTTACTGGAAGTAAAACTAAGTATTTATTGTAGAAATTACTCACAAGATACCAAACAAGTAACCCAGATGAGACAAGCAGTTTTCAGCTGCCGAACCAGAAGCCGAACTCCAGGAAAAGAGACCGAGACTTCCTGTGTGCTGTCTTTTATACCTTCCCCCGTAATGCCTCCTAGCCATGCCCAAAAGTGGGCCTGGCTAGTGACGTAGTTCCGCCTACGTACGTATACGTCTTTACGTCCAGCCGTATATGTCTTTAGTCCTGCCTAAAGTGGGTGTGGTTAGCGGTGTGGTAAACCATCCTTTTATTACCTCATCTGTATGCGCCTCTAATAAGTCATATGTTTAATGGCGGCATACAGACTTCCTCCTACAATTCCCCTTTTAGTCTAAAAAGGACAACTAACTTGTGTCCATGAACAAAATGCATCAAACATCCATTCTATCTACCTAAACTTATCTGAAAGAAACACCCAAATATGAACACCTCCTTCCAATCCCAACTCTAAAATAATTGAAAACTAGCACTAACAGGTGTAAACTATCTTATAATATCAATAGTAGGGAGAGGGGGCGTAGAATTCTCAAAACTACTTCCTGCTGAGATGGGACGATGATAATCTCATGGGGACCTGTGAGAAGAAAAATGTTAGTATAACAAAATCTCAGTAGATCAGACAGTCTCTGTATGGCACGAGATGCTTGATTGAAGTTCCTGACTGGGGTTCTAGTGTTGATTGAAGCTCTCATCTTGAAGCTCTTGCCAGATTGTAGAAGATGTACTATTTCAGTTTCTTGGTCCGGAGTTGTGTAGAGTGATGTAGTTTCAAGCCAGTTTCAGGATAGTGCTTGTCAGATGGAGTCAATGATGTGGGGCAGTTCAGATGCCTCCAGTCGAATCAGGTGAAGTCAAGGAAGTGGATCCTCATTCTCTTTCTGAAGCAGTTGAAGATTGCTGTCAGGAAATCCCTTGTTCTCTGGAAAACTCAAACATTAATGTTAACAAAGAAATATTTTAACTTTCATATGTATGCAATGTATGTATGACAATAGGGAAGATAGAAAACCTGGAGGAAATTAGACTGTTCAGAAAAAGAAATCCACAGATAACAGTCCCTCATTTTATTTCTTCTGTCTTATATCAATGGCTCTTTGATATAACACAGAAATTCTGAATCGTATTTAAATAATATGCTTGAGTTTAGAGTAGGAGAGCCAATCCAACTCCAAAGCCAGCTTCAGTTAAATGAATGGGGACTGAGGAATGTGAAGAAATAAAGATAAAAGGGTACTATGAAAAAACAATATAGAGAGATTTAGACTTTGATACCACACAGTGAGTTACTGTTTGTTTGATGGTCCCCAGGGTAGCTATTCATTCTTCTACAGGAATCCATATGTCCAGTATTCTTTGCTGAGTTTACCTGTGAAGACAAAAAACAAAACACTTCTCTTTCCTTTTAGGAGGTCACTTTACCCATGGTGGAATATGAATTTGTAGATGGGCTGTTCTCTTCCTCCTCCTGAGATGTTTTCTGTTTTGATCGAATTTTAATTAATTTTGATGGAACCCAAACCTTTTCTTCTCCTGTGGAAACAAAAGCATAACCCCTTCCCCAACGTAACACATATCCTGGTTTCCAGACTGAGGTCATAACATCCTTAAAATACACCGGTTGGTTCAGTTCAGAAGTCTTCTCTGTAGTCCAGTGTCTTTCTGCTGCAGTTTGTCCTTTTTCATCAGCATTAAGAAAATTCAACGTTAGTAAAGCATTGTGTAACCTATGTTTAGGTGTCTTTGTTTTCCCTGGCTGTTTATGAAGCATCTCTTTTAAGGTTCAGTTAGATCTTTCAATTATTGCTTGTCCTGTGGGATTGTAAAGTATAGCAGTTACATGTTTTATATTATAATATTTGAAGAATTGTTCCAATTTACTGGAGACATATGCTGGACCATTGTCAGTTTTTATTGTTTTAGGTATACCCATAACAGCCATCACCTCTAAGCGGTGTGTAATAACAGAATCAGCTTTTTCAGAGCTGAGGGCAGTAGCCCATTGGAAGCCTGAGAATGTGTCAATGGTATGGTGTACATATTTCAAACTGCCAAATTCTGGGAAGTGAAATACATCCATTTGCAAAAGTTCATTTCTGTGAACACCTTTAGGATTACAACCTTTCTTTTTGTTTAAACAGAAAAGAGGAGATGTTGGGGGAAGTCCTGTGCATTTGTCAATAAAGTACTGTTGAGCCTATAGGGAACCAAGATAGGAGGGACTAGGAGTCCAGGAGAACTCTGGGAAGGAGAAACACAGGGAGTCAAGATGTAATGCCATGGGGGTAGGAAGCCCGGAACCATTCTCCGGTAAGAGACATACTTAGATTAACAATTATGGGGTAATTACTTAAGTCAGAGCTAGCCAGTAAGAAACAAGCAAAGGCCAACAGCTTCATAATTAATATAGCCTCCTGTGTGTTTATTTGGGACTGATGCGGATCACGAACCAGGCTGGCGGAATGGCTCCTCTCAAGGAAAAAGCTTCTCTTAACACTTCCCTAACTGAATCCCTAGCATTATAAAATGTACTTACTTCATTAAGTAAAATAAATAGCCTTGCATGGTGATACACAACTTCAAGCTCAGCATTTCAAAGTCAAAGGCAGGTGGATTTCTGTAAATTTGAGGTCATCCCTGTCTACATAGCAAGTTCCAGGCCAGCCTGGGCTGAACAGCGAGACTCTGTCTCTAAATAAATAGATGAATACATAGGTAGATGCATTCAACCTATCTTCCATGCATTATTTAGTAGAGGAGTGAAATTATAGCCTCTGTCTTTCTAGCAGACATTGTGTTATGCTCTGTCAAGCATTGCTATGATCTGTAACTTTACTGATCTAAGAACGCAATCTGGTCATGTCAGAGAGAACATGTCAGATTCAGAGGCCCAGGCCTTTGCAAACTAAGCTTACAAGAGAACAGTTTACAAATATAAATGTCCATGGATTCACATGGCAAGAACTGGCTGGACTCAGTGTGCCATGTAGCATCAGTCCTTATTCAGAATCAACGTGTAGTAATGTTGCTTAGATTGGTAAGCAGGTTTCTCAGCACAGAATCATTATTTGCCTCAAATGCACATGTCCTGAGATGACAAGGATAAATAATCTGAAATGCTTTGGGTTTAGTCAGTTTCCATTGATTTGTCAAAGTCTTTCACATCTGTATCAGCCCTCTGAGTTCTCTAGAGGACTTCCAAACTTGTCTAAACATGTGTGGGGACTGACTTTCACATTACCCTCAACATAAACAGAATAGTGTTATATGTAGGTGCTTGCATGTGTAAACCCATTCAGGAGCAAAACTTAGGTAGCATTTACAACACCCTCAAAAAAAATCTTTTCTCAGGCATTTTGGATGCCAGTGCTGTAATGGTTAACACAGACTTGGTAACTTGCAAAAGGGAAATTGTAAATGCTCCTTTTATCATTAAACACAGTGATTCATGATGAGGTATATGACTGGGAAAGCCTAGCCATCTCTGTCTTCTGGGGTTTAAGATGAAGCTCCTGGACTTAAAAAAAAAGACTGTCACCTGACAGAGTCCTATGTTCAGCTGCCCACCGCCCCAGCCAGTCACAGGCAAGGCAATGTTCTATGCAAGAGGTTAGGTGAGGTTCTGAACACTGAGCATGCCACCTTCGTGCTTATCTGCATGAGGGTAGGCTTTGATCTAAGACTTGCTTGCACAGTGACTTCTTATCGGGAAGCAAGCTTGAATCATAAAGAGCCTGTCTGAAGGGTAAAAATATTTATGAAAATAACCATGTGGTTTGGCCAAGTAGGTTGAAGGGTCTCATCACTGAACTGGCATTCTTACAATATACTTTAGAGAACAGAGGAAATAACTCACAAGCAGGTAGTTTGTTTCTTGAAGAGAGATGTCTGTCAGTCTAGAAAGCTTTTTTTAAAAATTGGAATATTTTCCCATTTTATTGGGTAATCTGTAAAGAAAGTCTTAGCTATCAAAATGAAATCTCACTTTATTCTATTATCTAATGGCCTGATTGAAATTTTTGTGTAAATCTGAGGAAGTTCAGGGAATAAGAAAACAAAAACAGTCACTCTACCACTTGACAGGTGGTGGTAATTTGCTGAGACACTAGGCTCTTGGGACATCCGCTGTGTGCTTCTGTGTGCTCCCATGTCTTCCTGTTTACAGAGTGTCATTTGACTGACTGGGGAATCCTCAATCTTAGAGGCGTGGTGCTGTAACAAGCATGCTGGGAAAGTAAGTCCTTGGTGGGAATAACCCTGCTTTTCTGTAGCATCCACATACTTAGTACCCAGCTGGAAGGTGGCTAGCAGCTGGGAATAAATGCAGTAGCTGATTCCCACCCAGTTCCTCTGGAGAAGAGGAAGTGGGTCCTTTCTAATCTTTGATACACAAAAGCACATTGCTTGATAATGGCTATTCCACAGAAAAAGCAAAATCCAAACAAATAGCATCATTTTGCTCTAGCTTACATACAACCTAAGTGAGATTCCAGCTATGGGAATGGTGGAAGGAAAAGCAAGACTTTCTTACTATTCCACTCAGCAGCTGCTGTCCGCAATGTGAGCACTGAACTCAAGAGTACTAATCCGTATCCACTGCTGCTGCTTCCTGTCTCTTCCTGTGCTCTGGAATTTGGACTTCAGCCCATGTTTGTTGTTGCTGCTGTGGCTGTGGGGCTGGCCGGGGGAAGGGGTGGCTGCTGGGGAGGGGGGTCCATGGAGGATTGCACTTGTGCTAGGCAGGCACTCATCCCAAAGTCTAACCTGTTCTTTGTGTTTCTATGCATGTGGTGTGCACTCATATATGTGAGTTTACATGTGTGGGTGTGCCTGTGCACATGAGTATGAGTGCCTTTAGAGGCCCCAGGCTTCATCACTTCCCACTTTATTCACTGAGGCAGGGTCTCTCAACTGAACACAGGGCTCATGATGTGGTTAGTATTGCTAGCTGGCTTGCTCTAGGGATCCCCTGTCACAGCCTTCTGAGTGCTGAATTTCTAGGCAGGCCTCTACACCCAGCCTGCACTATGTGGGCGTTAATGATCCACACTTCAGCCCTCACCCTTGCTCAGCAAGCATTTTATCCACTGAGTCATCTCCTCAGCCCTCCTCGCCTGTCTGATTTTTATCTTCTATATCTTCATGCTCTTATTTTATGTGTGTGCATGTGTGGCTGAATGGGGGGTTGTCTGTGTGTGGAGGCTAGACATCAACATCAATTGTCTTCTTCAATTGCTTCTCCATTTTATTTTTTTTAAGATCGAGTCTCTCATTGAATCTGGAACTCACCAACTGGCTAGACTGTCTGACCAGGAAGTCCCAGGCAGCCTCCTGTCTCCATATCTTCAGAGCTGGGGAATCCAAGAGCCCAATGCCACTAAGCTCAGCATTTCTTTAGGGTTTAGAAGAAGCAAACTCAGGTTTTCATGCTTGTGGTGCAAGGACTTTACCAAGTATGTCATTTCCAAAGCTCCTTGGTTGCTCCTCTACAGAGAAATAGAGAGTTCTTTTTCTAAACAATTTATGTTTGTATCAATAGTTCTAAGGCCTGTTTTGTCTGTCATGAGCTTCATTTTGAAGGCAAGTGTTGCTATAATCATTTCTTCTGGTTAAGGTATGAATGAAATCATTGTCATTTTGCCTCTATGTTGACAAATCAGATGTTTCTGTAGCCTGGTTTGGAGCCAAGCTGCTACAGACATACAGTCCTTATTTCCCATCACATCATCCTCTTGACCAAGGCCCTTTCTTGAGTTAGGTTATATGATAACATATCCACTTTTTTGTTAGACAGGGACCCTGATCTCTGGTTCTTGTGTTTATCTTGCTCTCAATACCTTAACTAGAGCTTTCACCCAAGGAAATATCCAATGTTCCTTAGCCATAAATCCTTTTAGAGGATATTTTAGGGCAGTGGGAGGGTTTCAAGGCATAATTTCTGGAACAGTCCAGTTCAGACACTCACAGGATGGCCATGGGCAAGCCACTTATCCACTCTGAGCTTTTTTATCAGCTATATAATCAAGAGTAATTTATGCAGTTCAGGGAGTTTTTGAAGGATTAAATGAGTGTATTTGTCTAATGTGCCTGTTTACACATATACACATATATTCAAGTATTCGTGTGAATGTATTTTATGGATTCATATGAGCATACACATAGACATTCAAATATGTCTCAGCACAGTTTCTGAATGGATTCACTGATGGCAAGATGTGAAGTCTTGTCACTTGTTGGTGTTTATTAGAGTGATGTTGATAACAACTGTGGCTCCTACTGCATAAAGCAATCATTAAGTAAATTGATAATCAGACCCTAAGCCAGGCATGAGGCCCATAACTAGAATTCTAGTGTTCAGGAGGCTGAGACATGAGGATAACCATGTATTTGAGGCAATACTAGACTATCTGAATTTTAGGTCCGCTAGAACCACTCAGACTATATTAATAGTGATAAACTGGGCAACATAGTGGAACCGAATAGGGTAAAGAAGGAGAGAGTATTATGGGGACAGCTTTTTAAAGGAGGTGCCCTTTAACACCGAGACATAAGGAAGGGGGATGCTCACCTTGCAGAGGGTTGCCTGACAGAGGAAGCGTATTTATTGCACACAAGGATGTTGCAACCGTAACACAGGGAACAGTGTGCAGTAGTTTGCTGGGGTGGAAAGTGATGCTAGAAAGCCCGCATCAGAGAAAGGTGTCTAAATATTCCTCCTTGGGCTATCTGAGGCCTGTACTGGAGGACAAGCAGGAATTAACTCAAAGTACTGCACTTCAGTGAGGACAAGCAGGAATTAACTCAAAGTACTGCACTTCAGAAGAAAATTCAAACGTGGTTGGAAGCATGGAAACAGAGAGAAATAATTAGTTTTGGGGTATTTTGAGGTATACAGCCTTGCTGGAGACTTGCTGGAGAACTGGGGAGGGGGCATTCAGGTGATACTAGTTTTTGAATTCATGAACTAGGCTAGCGGGATTTTCATCTGTTGAGATAAGACTTGTAGAGAATGTTCTTGATGAAGAAGCGTCAAAATGACTTGAAGGCAAGTTGTCTGCAAGAAATAGAAATTTGGTGTCCAGATGAAAGGCTGTGTCTGGCCGAAGAGGAATCTGGGCATCATTGGTGACTAGGTGACACTGTGCATGAGTGACATACTGTAGGATAAGGGACTGGTTTTTAACAATTGGTCTGGATGTCAAAGAAAGTGAAAAGAAAACCAGCAGAATAGAATAAAATGATGTAAATAAAAACCTCTACAGTGATCTGCTTAGTATTCAGGATGTGTCAAAAACCTTGTAATTTAAAAACATCTCAATTAAGCAACAGGAAGAAGACTTGAATGGATACTTCTCTAAAGAAGATATACTGTTTTTGTACATTGCAAAAATATAAACAAAAGCCACAAAGGAGATGTCACTTCACTTCTACTAGGATGTTGTTTTAGTCAGGGTTTCTATTGCTGTGATACAGCGCCATGACCAGAAGCAACTTAAGGAGGAAAGAGTTTAGTTCAGTTTGTAGTTTACAGTTCATCCTCGGGGCAGGAAGTCAAGGCAGGAACATGGTAAACAGTAACTGAAGCAGAGCTCACAGAGGAATACTGCTTACTGGCTTGCTCCTGCTGGCTTGCTCAATTTGCTTTTTTATACAATCCAGGACCATCAACCTCAGGGATGGCACTACCCACAGTGAACTGGGTTCTACTCTATCAACTCACCACAGGCTGATCTAGTGGGGGCATTTTCTCAATTAAGTATCCCTCTTCCCAAAGGACTCTAGCTTGGGTAAAGTTGGCAAAACACTAACCAGAACATGTGCCATCAAGAAAAAACATTGGCAAAAATTTGAAGATGTCAGAACCTTTTTCAGTTGCTACAGAAGTGTAAGATGACTCTACTACTAGGAAAAGAATTTTAGTAAGTTAAAATCATTATATTTCTTATTAGCTAACATACTAGTGGATATCTGTTAAATCTTCTTCATGTATCTAAAGACCAAAAATGGTGGTTTGAATGAAAATGTCCCCCATAGACCCATAGGTAGTGGTAATTTAGAAGGTGTGGCTTTGTTGGGGGAAAGTGTGCCAATGGGGGTGATTTGAGATTTTAGAAACTCAAGGCAGACCCATGTCAGTCTCTTTTCTAGCTGCCTGTTGATCCAGATGTAGAACTCTCAGCTACTTCTCCAGAACCATATCTGCCCATGTGCCACCATGCTTTCTGCCAAGATGACAATGGGCTAAACCTCTAAAACTGTAAGCCAACACCAATCGAATGTTTTCCTATATGATTTTGATTTGATTTTCTTCTTTACAGTTGAGTAATAGTTCATTTGTGTACATGTATTACATTTTCTCTATCTGTTTATCAGTTGATAGACATCTTGGTTAATTCCATTTCCTAACTACTGTGAATTGAACCACAGTGAACATAGATTTGTTCTCTATGGTATTTATAAAGTCCTCTCTATCCAGGGGTTACATTTATGGGTCAGATGGAGTTCTGTGTCTAGGTGTTTTGTTTTGTTTTGTCTTTTTTTTTTTTAGAGACCTCCAGAGTGAATTTCAAGTGGCTACAGAAGTTACTAGTTTACATTTCCACTAACAGAGTGTTAGGATTCTCTTTTTCCCCACCCTCACCAGCATTTGTTGACATTTGTATTTCTGATCTTGGTCATTCTGGCTGCCAGGAGATTAAATTGTAAAGTAGTTTGAATCTTCACTTTCCTGATAGCTAAGGATGTCGAACACTTTAAAAAGTATTTCCTAGCCATTTGTATTTCTTGTTTTGAAATCTTTTAGCTCATTTTCCACATCCCATTTTTAATCCAGTTGCTTGTTTTCTTGAAGTTTAGTTTGCCAAGTTCTTTGTATACTATGAACACTAGTTCTCCGTGAGATATAGAGTTGGTGAAGGTTTTCTCTTGTTCTGTGGCTACCTCTTTACTCCACTGAGAGTTTCCTTTGCTGTGAAGAAATTTTCTATTATTTTCATGAGACTACCATTTGAGATTCATTGGTCCTATTTCCTGTGATACAGGAGCCCTATTCAGAAAGTCCACACCTGCCCCTGTGTGTTGAAGCATCTCCCTACTTTATCCTCTGACAGCTTCACAGAATCAGGCCTTACATTGAGGTGTTTGGTCCAATGGGGTTAAGTTTTGTGCAGGGTGAGAAAAAAAGGTCCAGGGTAATTTTCCTGCATTTGCAATCCAGTTTTCCTGGCATTATTTGTTGAAGATAGTATATTTTCTCCAACATGCATTTTTGGCATCTCAAAAAATCAGGTAGCTTTACTTGTGTAGACTAAGATCTGGGCCCTCTATCCTATTCCATTGATCTATGTGTCTTTTTTTGTTTATTTGTGTGTATGTATCATGCTGCTTTTAATACTGCATTTTTGTAGTATAATTTTAAATTAGGTAGGGTGATTCCTCCAACAATATTCATTTTATTTCAGATCGCTTTGGCTATGAGGCTTGCTCTATGGGGGGGAATTTCATACCTGGGACTATAAACATGGTCAGAAGCCCATGACTGGGAAGATCATCGATCCAGGGAACCTACAGGTGTTTTGTTAAACAATCATGCTGTGAAACTACCTTCTAAGTGTTTGTGTTAGCATGTGTAGATTTGTGCTGCTCTCAGTTTTGATTAAAGAAGTTTCCTTTTTCAGATAGTGGTGGTGAAAACAGACTTCTAAGTAGTCAAAATGTCAATTGTATGTAACCCTGAGCACTCAGTTATGGATGGACCATCAACACCATTCTCCCACCATCCAAAGCTCTAGGAACTTCGAAGAAGGAGAAGAAAGAATGGAAGAGTGAGCAGATGGAGAGATCAATGAAATGCTTTCTCTAGACATGACCATACACTCATCAAATCAAAGCAGCTATAGTTGCCTGCAGAAGACCTGTACATGAGCAAGCCAGTTACACTCCCAGCATGGCTGGGGGATGGGTTCCTGAGGCCCTATCCATGGCAGAGGGGATTCAGAGCTACTGCAGGAAGGAGAGTCACTGGTAGGGTGATTGTCCCAGTGAATGGCCGTACACACACACACACACACACACACACACACACACACACACACACACATTCATATGGGCACTGACTAGACTTGGGGGGATACTTTTTAACTAAAAAGTTAAAAAGATGACATAAAGTTGGGAAAGAGATGGGATGGTCTAGGGGAAGTTACAGGGAGGTAGTTGTTAGATGGATATGGTCAATGTACATTGTATGAATATGTGAAACTTTCAAAGGATAAGACAATTACTGTTTGTAAACATTAAAAACAGGATGTGACATGACCCAGCATTTTCACCTGCATTTCTGCATCCAAGAGAAATGAAAACATTTGTTTGCATAGAAACTTGCACATGAATGTTTATAACAGCAGTTATTCATCACAACCCAGAGGTAAAAAGACCAATACTTATGACCATCAACAGATGAACAGATAAGCACATTTTGTTATGTACATAAAGTGAAACATTATCCAACCATAAAAAGGAATGAAGCACTTATGGGTGAACCTTGAAAGCATTCTAAGTGAAAAACAGACATAAGTTGCATAGTGTATGAATTTTAAATAAAATATCTATAATAGCTATATCATCAAGGCAGAAAGACTAGGGCAAAGGGGAAAGGAAAGCATATGGAATTTCTCTGAGGTCATAAAGAATTCAAACTAAAGAATGTGGTGGTTGTACAACATGATGAGTGTGATTAATGCCACTGGATTCTATATTTTAATATGTTTAGCATTATATGAATTTACCTCAGTTAACACATGATAAAAACAACACTGTTAGATATGTATCCCTGGTAAGAAATGCATAATAAAACAATGTATATGTACAGGTGCTATTAGATTTATAGTATGCTGGAATGTCATACATTTGTAAAACAGCAATATAAAGGACGTGAACAAAAGTTAAACAGCTTAGACTTTAAGAGACCAGACAGCAACTGAAATCTCCAAAAAGAAATGGATAAGTCAGACACAGTGGATCAATCTAATACTTTGCAGACATGATCTTACTTTATTCTAGATCCTGTACAACAGGTACAACTATATGATTACTAGAATGCATTTGGGTTTGGTAACATATAAATAAATTGCACTATATAAAACTACAAGGTTGCAAAATCTGAAGAGAGTGGTTATATAATAGGTACAAATATTCTTTACTGCATTAGAATTAAATTAGTATGTTTTGAAATTAGATTTTGAGAAGCTAAGATGTATGTTGCCAGCCAAACTCTAACCAGTCAAAAATGATTTTAAATACAGTAACATAATAAAGAAATTGAAACACTAGAAAATTCCAATTCACTATGAAGGAAGACTATGGGTGGTGACCCAAGCACAAAAAAACAAGTGTTGTGTGTTCTCACTTATATGGATTTTAGCATCAACTCTTTGGATTTGTGTGTTTAACTTGGAATATCTGTAGAATCCAGCAAAGTAGAAAGTGATCATTGTGGAGAGGGGGAAGAAATACCATGTGGAGAATGGGATATTAGAACACAGGTGATATGAAGGAAACAAAGGGGATAATCACTGTGGAGGGAGATTTAAGTGGGGAGAGGGAGAGGTAAGGCAGGACAGAGGAGGGGTAAGGCAAGGAATAGCTAATACTATGGGTAATTGGAAAAAGTTATATGGAAACTTAATATTGAAAACTTCATATGTTACAGAGAAACCCTGTCTCGAAAAACCAAAAAACAAATAAACAAACAAACTTCATATGTAAGAATATATATATATAAATGTAATAACTATCTATCTATCTATATATGTATATAGATATGTGAATGAAAGGGTTTAATTGAAGTTATCCTATAGAGAGGACAGTGCTTCTCTAAGAACCCATAGGTTATCAAATAAAAAGCTATATGTATGTATGTGTATATTTAAATAACACAAAGTTGGCTGAGCTGTGGTGTTGCATGCCTTTAATCCCAGAACTCTGTGAGTTTAAGGCCAGCCTGGTCTACAGAGCGAGTTCCAGGACAGCTAGGGGCTGTTACACAAAGAAACCCTGTCTTGGAAGAAAAAAATGTTAAAAAAAACTTTTTAAAAGAGCACAAAGCTGAAGGTGTAGGAAGGAGGTTAGGAGGAAAGGAGGTAAATATGATCAAAATACAAAGTATGAAATTCACAAAAATTAATAAAAATATTTTAAAAGAAAAGAAAAAAGCTCAAGTACCAGAAAAGGTCAGGGTTTCCTGGGGAACCCCCAAACATGATAGGCTACTGCTATTACTCTTAGTTGTTCACCAGGACCTGATATTAAGACCCTATTTCTGAAGACACCATACTTTTTGGTCACAAGACATGGAGAAATGAAGTTGTACTGACCAGGAAGCTTCCTCAGTACTGGTGAGCTCTCATAGTCCCGAAGGTGCTGTGCAGGCTGTTGGGGAAAAAGTTATCAACAATCTTATTCGGCTGTGAGCACTTGGAGCTACAATAACAGCTCTTTGGCAAGAAATGTGGATGAGTGCAACAGTGGCACAAATATTACGGCATCAACCAACTGCTTTCTGATTGGATTTAAAGCCTGCTCTAGAGAAGTAAATATCTGCCTGATATTATACTTCTGGCCAAGAACCCATGGTTGGGGAGCTCACAGGCTACATGGGTGAACTTACTGCTCTTATTTTTCTAGATGGACACTGTAGCAAACTGACATCCCTACACCTCTAGATTAGTGCAATTCTCACATCTCATAGGAGAAGTTTCTTTATGTAGTAAATATCAGTTAATGCAGATAATCACAGTCAAAGTGCAGAGAACAAGAATCTGTGGAGTACTCAGTTGTAAGTGGGCACCTGCATCACACCCGTTTACCCCAAAGCTCAGGATCATTTAGGAGGAGGGAGCAGAAGGATTATAAGGGCAAGAGGTTGGAGAGGACTAGAGGGAAACAATGTCTTCTGGGTATGACAAGACCAGTGTACTCATAAACTCAAAGAGTTCACTATGATTGCTTGCATAAGACCTGCACAAGATCAAGCCACTCAACTTTCCAGCATAGAGAGGGAGGGTGCACTGAGTCCCCACCCCTCAATGAGGAGCTGTTGACAGTTGATGGCTTCTAGGAAGGGAGGGGTCTGTTTTCTTTAAGGGTGTGGTTCCTAGTATATTTACCAGGCACTAGGGTATGGCTTCACCCCCATGAGTATATAGGCAGCATAAACTGGGCTCTGTTTTTAAAAAGAAAGTTGAGAAGGGATGGACAGTAGAGAGTGGGGAGTGGAAATAGACAGGAAGAGTTAGAGGTAGGAGTGGTGGTAAATATGATTTAAAACACATTGTATTTATGTATGACATTCCCAAATAATTAATGAAAACATTTTAAATTTTTAATCAAAGAAATGAAAATGCTATACTATAAAATATCTATCCCTTATAAAAGAAGACAGCAAAAGAGGGATAAAATCTATGAATAACATTTGAAGCATGGAAAGCCAAAAGCAAAGTGGCAGAAGTAAATTGAAACTTAATTACAAATAATTACCCGATCCAGTCAAAAGGCAGGGATTATCAGACCATATTAAAACATGAAACAAGACCCAAGTATACACTGCATAAAGGAAACACACTTTAGATACAAAGATACAAATAGGCTGAAAGCAATAAGAAGGGAAAGATAAATCATGCAAATAGCAACCTTGAGCAAGCTGGAGAGGCAGCATTGATATCAAACAAAAGGGACTTTGAAATAAGACCTAGAAAAGGGGAGACTACCCAGGAGGAAGACAGTGGTAGCAAGGAGCAGAAAGTTTGGGGCAAGATGCTGCGAATTCTCAGATTAAGAAGTAGGACAAAGAGGAAAGATTTTTGAAAAAGAAAACCCACACTCTGGCATTTCCATAGGCCATGGCATGAAGTGCAAACATTAGAACCCTTCAGCCACCGCTTGCTCACTGACCCTGCTGTTTGACAAATGAGGATATGATAGACATGAATAGTGACTTCCCAAGCCAGAAGAGTAATCGAGCGCAATTGAACTAAAACCTTCTATTTAATTTCTCTGTCTTTCTGCTAACTCTCCTTCCCCTCTCTCTGTTACTTGCCCTCCCCCAATCCTTTCCTCTCTTATATTCATAGGGTTCTTTAGAGGAACAGAACATACAGGATGAATCTCTATTTATGTAGGAAAGGGATTTATCCGAACAGCTTCCAGGCTGTGGTCCAGCTAGTCCAACAATGGCTGCCTATGAATGGAATTCAGTAGCTGTTCAGTCTGCAAGGATGGATGTCTCAGCTGGTATTCAGTAGATACTGGAATCCCAATGAAGTAGACTCTAATGCCAATGAAGGAATGAACTTTCCATAGAGGTGAGAGCAAGCAAGCAAAGAGCAACCCCTTCCTTCTTTCATGTCCTTATATAGGCTTCCAGCAGAAGGTGTGGCCCGGATTAGAGACATCTCTTCCCACCTCAAAGATCCAGATTAGAAGTGGATCTTCCCACTTTAAATTAAGCAAAAGAAAAAATGTCCCTCACAGATGTCCCCCATTTAGGGGCTTTAGTTAATTGTAGATGGTGTCAAGTTGATCACCAAGAACAGCCATCACAATCTACACCATTGTTTTTGGAACCTCTAGATTGTGGAGGTGCAGTCTGCTAGGATCTTTGTAGAACATTATCAAGATTTCAAGTCAATGGAAGAAATTCAGTGTTTCCTTCAATTGTCTGTTCCTTTGTGGATGACTTGCTAACTTCCCTGGGTTTTAGTTTCCTTATCTTTTGAGTGGAAAATCACACTACTGAGGAGATGTAACTGCCAAGGATGAATGAGGAAAACATTCTGCTTTTAGGAGTCCATGCATTGAATTGAAGAACACAGCCACCCAATCAAAGACCTTGGAGGTCTCAGGAGACTCTAAGGGGCACTTAAGAAGTAATGCCCCTGCAGTGACAACTTGCTCCACAGGGAGAAAGAAGCAATTAGGGCAAGTCTAGATATTCTACCATGTTGTTTAGGTGCCAAAGAAGAGCCATTGCAAATATCCCAGTGACTCCAGATGTTAGAAACCACTAGCGTCTATGGGAAACCAAATGCATGGCCACTCTCTTACCATGGAAATGCCAATGATTCCTTGTTGCCTGAACTGGACATTTCAAGTGTTTGTTGGTGCTGACACATGACATCAATGCCCTAGGGTGGCTTTTATTTGGGAAAACCATCAACAGACAGATCCTCTCATTCTCAAAGGTCCATGAGAATTCAATAGAGATAAGCTGAGTTTATGGTTTATATCCTTCATAATGGTTTCCATGCTTCCTCCCTGGCATTATCTGCAATAAGAATCTGACCCCAGGGCTAGTCCTGATCTACCACAGTGGAATCAAATTCCTTTATTTAAGGAGGAGGGGGGTGGATAAAAAGGCTCTTAGACACATAATTGTTTTTAGTAATGATAAATAGTAATTGTTTAGAATAGTAAATCATTATCACAATAAATACAAATGGAGCCAGCTCCCCTTGGAACATAAGCAGTGATGAGGGTAAAGATTAGGTATCTGGGAAAACCATAGAGCCCTGACGGGCTAGAGGAGAAGGTCTCATACAACTTGCAGATGAAGAGTGAATTTGACATGGGACAGTGTAAGGAGATTTATTGGTCACTTCCCACTGTTATATGAGCATGGGAGGTTGAGCTAAACATTTTGTTATTTATAAGCTCGAGCATATTATGCTATTGCTCTGTGCTCAAGTTTCATTTCACACATCTCATTTCCCTTTTCAATTCTTAGCAATTGAGCACAGTAAGAATTCTGATGCTCAGTGGAAGGTGACCCTGAGGGTTGTTGGAAACTTTCCTTATTACTGTCAATAGAAGAAAGAAATTATAGATGCATAAGTTCTGCTTTTCTGCTGTTGCTGTATAGAGAACTCTCAGATAACTTGGTGCTCAGGAAAGAGATGGAGTCACTATTGACAATGCTCTCTGTAGGACATTATAAGTGAACTAAATTGGATTAAGTACACTGAGTGAGATACAGGTTTGCATGTTTATTTGAGTGCTATGTATGTATTTATGGGCCCCTGCACATGCATGGGAGCTAGAGATCAACCACAGGTTGAAGTCTTCAGAAGGCATTCACCTTGTTTTCTGAAATAGGAATCTCTCTTGAACCTGTGATTCACCTATTAAACTATACTGGATTGTCAGCAAGCCCAGGATCCAGCTGTCTCTACCTACTCAGCCCTGGGATTACAAATGCATGCCATGATTTCTGACTTTTTTATGTGGGTTCTGGGACTTGAACTCAGGTCCTCATGCTTATTCCGCAAGTACTTTAAAAACTGAACCATCTCCCCCACCCCCTGGTCCTCTCTCAGTTTGCTGTTCATGATGTGGAGAGTAAGGAGCATCATGACTTCTTAGAAGCAATTGTAATGGTGGAGAGGGAATGAAAGAAAAAGGAAACATTAAAAACTCTCATTGTTATAGTTCACCATATCTTTAAAAGTTTAAAAAACATCTTTAGTTTTTTCTTTAAATTAAACATGGATGCTATTACTAAGAAAGAGAAAATAAACTTGGTGACATTTATAGTTAACTTTTATCACCAAAAAGTGTTTACTTCTGTGTATGTAACTTATTAATATTAAAGTATAACATTGATTCTTATTTCTGAAGACTACGAACCAGCTAAGTGCAACACATTTCTCTAAGTATGAGTCAAGGTAAGAATAGAGGAGAGCAGGATGAGAGATACCATAATAGATTGAGTCATTATAGGCTTGAGGAGAGAGCTGACACTAGTGAGATCTCCAGAGATCTACAAGGATAACACCAACTGGCAAACTAAGCAATAGTGGAGAGACTACACTAATAGCCCATCCTTGATGATAGGGTTGATGACTACCCTATATGCCATTCTAGAACCTTCATCTAGGGACTGATGGAAGCAGAGATAGATACCCACAGCTAAACACTGAGCTGAACTCCTGGAACCTAGTGACAGATGGAGGAGTGATGAGCGAAGGAGTCAAGACCATGATGATGAAACTCACAAAAACAGCTGACCGAATAAGGGGGAGCTCTTGAATCCCAGACTGATGGCTGAGAGGCCAAAAGGGGACTGATCCAGACTCCATGAATGTAGTGCCAGGGAGGAGGCCACAGAAATCACTGGGGCCTTGGGTAGTAGATCAGTGTTCACCATGGTTTATGACTGATCTTTGGGAGCCCATTCCAAATAGAGGCATGCTCTCTCAGCCTGGACACATGGGGAAGGGCCTTGGTCCTGCCCTGGATGAAATGACAGACTTTAGAGATCCCCCCAAGGAGGGCCTCACCCTCCCTGGGGAATGATGTGGGGATTGGGTGGGGATTTGATGGAGGGACAAGGGAGGAGGGGTGGGACAGGGAGCTGGGACTGACATGTGAAGCATTCATGTTTCTAATTTAAATAAAAACATATATTGAGATAAAAAAATGAAAACCACTCTTACAACACAACTTGTTTTTACTAGAGCCTAATCTTTTCTTGAGATTTTATTTCCTTGTAAAGATTTTCTTCCTTAAAACTTCATTCCTAACACAGAAAGCAGAAAGTCATCACTGATAGAGTCCTGCATCCTTATGGTCTGCTCTAGAGCATGCTGGGCCTTTGAAGTGGGCATTCTTCTCAGCCACAGCAGCACCATCTCAGACTGCTCACATGGATGTGCCAGTGGGTCTGTATCACAATTTCTAAATCCCCCAAATCCAAGAAACCAGTTAGAGGGATGACCAGGAAAGCAGAAGCAAATCGGCTTCCCAATGCTTTCCCCGCCACTAGCTAGCTTTTCTTCCCTGCAACCTTACAACAGAGGCACTGCCAATGTGGCTACTTAAAGAAGGAAACAACTGTTATGTGTGTGAGGGGGTAGTTTCCAGAAAGGGCAATGTCAGGAACCACTCACCGCCTGCCCACGTCCCATTGGGATGAGCAGTGAGTGCCGAAGTGCTTTGTCTCTGTGGATGGGCATTTCCTCCTCAGCACCAGTGATCCAATCAATGAGGCTTCTCAAACTGTCCAGGAATCCCAAGCTGGTTTGACAGGAATGAGCTCCTTTTCTTCCCATTCTGTCAAATAGAATAGCTGTAGGCTTTCTACAAGGAGGCAACACCAGTACATGACAGGGCAGCATCAGATATTCCAGTTGTCATTTCAGGTTTGGAAGTTGTCCTCAGTATCTCAGAATTATCTCTTCTAACTCAAGGAATGTAACTCACAGGTACCCATCTCATCTTGGAGCATGGACTCCTTTGAGAATCTGCGGAAGGAACACTGTAGCTTCTCCTCCCTGAAAAATATACAAAAACATACAAAAAATCAAAACAGAAACATTACCTATTGGTTTCACTGCTGGAAAAATCCCATGGAATATGGTTTTGCTGGTGCCTTCAAATAGTTCTAGCTGGACTCAGAACACTCAGTATTTTTCTGGTACTTTTAGGATCAAACCTAATTTCCTTCTCAGAACTGAAAGCCCATGCTTATATTCAACATTTGTGCCCATTTTCATCTTGACAGGGTTGTGATTTCCACATGACTTTCCTCAAGACAGACATTTCTACTCCACACTATTTTTTTAAAGTCAGTACAATTGGGGGGTGGGGTGAGATTGACGACTGACAGGCAGTATTAGCATTTATTTTTACAAGCATGGTACTCACATAAAAAGTGAGGTGTGACTGCATATGCCCGTAATCCCAGGCCTGGAGGTGGCCAATGACAAAAAGATCACTGGGGTTTGCTGGCCACCAGCCTTGTTCCAGGTTGGTTTGGTGAGAGACCCTGTCTCAAAGTAGCATGCCTGTCTCAAAGTGATGAACACATGAGGTCCTCCTTTGTGCTCCACACATATACCGTGTCCTGTGTACCTGTGCATGCATGCCCATGTGCACACACACACACACACACAATACACATAATACACACACAACACACATCATATACACACAATACACACTATTTAAGCACACACAAAATAAACTAAAAAGTATCAGTACTGTTGCTTGACCAAGCAGTTCTCCTTCAGAAATACAGCTTTATCCATCTTTTCAAAGCAGGGATCACTTCTCCCTGGATCCTCCTGTGATGGCCTATGTTAAAAATCTCCATCCACTTTGCTTCTTTCCAATTCCTATAGCTCATGGTGCTATGTCCATGTGGGGGTTAGTAGTTGGTCCTGTTTTCTTCTTCATGCATCCATCACTTAGCAGGTTTACAGCTCATTATTGACTCTACCTCACCTCTACATGGGTCAGTTTAAATGAAGGCTGGTTTTAAAAAGAAAAGAAGAAAGAAAAGTTTATTCTTCAATTGAGCCCATTTTAGTAACCACCTGTCAGTACAAGCCCAGGTGTCCCCATGCATGCTGAAAACATGGAGTCTGCCTTGAATATGGATCCTGTAGCTGAGAATATCCCTCCCACTTTCCCCTATCAAGAAAACACTGGAAGGTTGCCTTTCTGGGTGATAGGATGAATAATCAGACCAAACCAACCAGCCTCTTTCGGTAAATGAACATTCCAAGAGCCGGTTCTAATGTGGGGTAGCTTCCATTTCACTGCTCAGCCCTAAATGCCTCCTGGTTGTAATTAAGTACTTCAAAGTCTTCCAAACACCCTTTTAGAAATGACTGCCCCAAATACAAAATGATGTCCAATCAGATGTAAATCATCCCCCAGCAGGGAGGGAGAGGCATGGGAAGCAGTCATCAGCACTTGAACTAATCAGAAAGTCTGGTCCCCTGATGAGGATTCTCGTTTTCTCATTTGTCATTCTAGCCACTAAGGTCTCAAGTGGCCAATTTGCTCCCTATTGGTAATCAGCTAGTTATTTTTACTCTCATTCCTCCCTCTGGGACTGTCAAACTACTTGAAGCAATTCATCACCCATTTGCGCCAAACTCTTCTATGACAGGAAGTGAGGGAAGAAAGATACTAGCCTGCAAAAGATAAAATTGAAGACTATTTCATCATTTATATTCAGTTTTTAAACAATGATTTCCCCAATGAGGTAAGTAAAATAATGACACAACTGGGTAGATGTAGGGCAAAAAAAGGAAGAAAGAAAAGAAAGCCAGCTCCAGGCAAAGCACATCATGCGATGGAAATTATCTCCGGCTGTGAAGTTTGTTACTCTGAAATGACGTGTTCTTACATTGTCTTTACAACTCCCCAAAGAGTGTCATCTTACATTCATTACTTACTTTGCAGGAAGCTGCCTCTATAAAAATTATGAACGCATATGAAGGCTGTAGCAGACATTAGTGGTTATCCTAAACCATGCTACCCGCCACCACCTGGGAGGAAGGTAGCCTTTGAAGGTTATTTGGTCTGAAACAGCACAGTTGCTGTGTTACAGAATGTCCCTCCTTCCCTTTGTCCCCACCAGGACTTCTCACTTACAGCATCCCACTTTGGAGCAACTCCTTCATTTTCCTCCTTCCCTCCAGCAGTTTCTGTCTGTCTCTAACAAAATCATTTCCAAACACGTTTTTAGGTGTTTCATTTCTCCAAGTTCACCTTGGGAGCCACGCAAAGGTTGACTTCCCTTCTCCTTGCAGCTGCGTCTCTGATGTCAGTACATTTTCTAATTAGTGGGTGTCTGTTGCTCTCCTCTCAGATTTCCCTCTGTCATTATGAAGAACCAAATTTCAAACCCTCAGGGCCAACTGGTCCCCAAGTCCAGGCTCAGCCTTGAGAAAGATGCGAGTATGACAGAAATTGGCATTTTCTTGGCATTTCCTTTGCCTATAGCCAGCTCTTTATTCCTTGGAAGGAAGCTAAGAGTTGAATAGCCCTTCTAGCTGTTTCCTTAGAGACTGAGTTTAGGCAGCAACATGATCTGAATCTTGAAATGCTTGTTTTCCTCCACCAGTTTCGCTGTCTTGAACCTTTTCTTGTGTCTTTACACTTTATAAATGTTGTCCTGTGTAACTTTACTTTTAGGTGTGCCTATCTATAAAGAGAATGCAAGGAGACAGAGAAAGCATGTTCACACACCCATATCAAGTATTCTAGCTTTTCATCTGCTAATTCCCTTCAAGCACGGCTGTTTGCACACTAGGTGATGTCACCCAACAGCTGTCTTGGACTGGAAACTAAAATGCCTGTGGATTTCCAGTCTTTTGTCTTACCTACTCAACAATCTGTCTCCTTTTCAATATACTAGAGCAATAAAAGACGGCTCGGTTCCCTTTGCTGAGAACTGAATCCTATAGCTTTAAAGAAACTGTCTCACAACTTGCTTACCTAATGTTTTCTTGTAATTGTCTAATTTAGTTTGTAATTGTCAAATTTAATTCTAAATTTGCTTTTGAGAATTATTAACTGTGATGTTTTGTGGAAATGAGTTTTAATATTTAGTAAAAAAAAGATTTTTTTAAAAGTATATTTTCCAGTTTGCAGTTATGGGAGAGGAAGTCTCTCTGTGTGTGTTTGTGTGTGTGTGTGTGTGTCTGTGTATGTGTGTGCACGTGCACACATGCACTAAAGAGTTTGCATTAGAGTGGGAGAGATTATAATTTATCTGCCCAGTGTCCCCAGGTTCTCCTAAAAGAGAACCTCCACATCTGGTGTAGTACAGGCTTGTAGATCCCTTAGATACAATGAACTGAGCTTTCTGTGTCCCATTTTATGTGAAAATTAATCAGTTTACTTATTATCTTTTAATGATATCCTTATTATCCACACACACACATATGCACGCACACACATATGCATTATGCACACACGCACATGTGTACTTTGTCAGTGAAATTTTGATTTCTGAGAGAATTTTTCCCTCCTTCCGGATCTTCTCCCCTTCTGTCTTGGTGTCTGTAATGACAATGTGCATTCCCTGCTTCTGGCCCCTGTTTTGGTCATTGTGTTCATTGTCTGTATTCCCCCAAATGTTTGTTTAAACAAAACTGAGACAGTTGCCAGTGAGTGCCTCTCCAGACTGCCATTGGATTACCTGGGGGCCATGAAGACATTGTTTCTAGTGAGTGCAACACATTCTTATAAACTGTATCTATTCAACCAACACCCAGACTAAGGAGACTAAGGAAAAGAATCCTGAAAAGGGCACTTGACATAATCATACTAAACAAAATAGTTTGCTGTCTCCCTCCTGCCTTTTAATCATTCATTTTTTTTATAGATGAAAAAAAACCTGTTGGCTGGTGAAAGATTCAGAAAGAACCATTCAAGCCAAATGAAATTAAACAGCAGGACTGTCCTTTTTTTCAGATCAGTTGAAAAGAACTCACGCTAATGACCTAAGACCCTATAGGGTTTCATGCCTGTCTATTCTCAGTTGCTGAGGGAGCCTTCCTGTGAGATCAATCCATCCTTCCCAAGGGACCTAGTTCTCCCAAAAGTCAGGAGCACACCTCCACAACATGCATCCTTGCACGAGCCTGTCACACTTTCTACAAAGACATGTCTTTGGGTTTAAATGAAGTTAAAACAGCATGTCTCTTCAGGGACTTAAAGTCTTGCTTTTCCTTGGGGTACTTGCCTTGAAAATGTCAGCAAAGTTCAGAAATGACTAGGGAAAGGCTCCCTGGCTGAAGGCCAACTTCAAATACAATGATTACATCATGTGCTACGCCATAGGAATTATCTTCCTGGTTCTTGTATAGAAGCTGACACACAGGGCTGTGCTTTTCCTCCTCTCATGTTAAGAGCGTCTGCAGATGTCAAACTTTCCTGTTCGGAATGGGTACAAGCTGTGATATTGCCATTCAAGGACTTCCAGTAGCAGCAAAAGGAAAATTACGAACCAACTGCCCTCAGAGAGGAAGTGCCTATTCAAACAGCCGGTGTTGGCCATGAGTATAGGCAAAGGCTACCTCCTTCCTGCCTGGAATGGCCCAGTCTCTAGCATTGCTGCCTTTCCGATCACAGGCCGTTAGGACTGGTGTGGTGGGAGGATGCTTGGCAATGGCAACATTTGGCATAGCCTCACTTATCCCATAAGCACCCAGGGAAAGAATTGGCTGTGTGCATTTTCCCCAAAGACAGATTGTGCTTGTTCATTGATTGTGTTTAATTTATAACAAATGTCTTTAAAAGTGGGACACACGCAGCTTGGAAGTCGTCTACACATTTTAATGACAAATCTCTCCAGGGTTACCCTCTGCTTTCCCTCACTACTGAATGGGTTGTGGCCAGGGAAGAGGTAGTGCACATATTGCAGACAGGGAAGGTCTTTGCTGGGTCAGCTAATATTTCCCTCTCTCCCTTTTAGTCTAAGACTGAAGAGAGAGTCATTGGTGGACCGTTCAGTTAGTATTTTTATTGTCTC